GAGGGAAGGAGGGAAGGAGGGAGGGAGAGAAGGAGGGAGGGAGGGAGGGAGGGAAGAAGGCGTACCCGACGTCCGCGACGCGCATCGCTTGCTCGACGGTAGCTTTGACATCGCGAGTGTCGGTGGTGCCCATTGTTTGACACGCAATGGGGTGCTCGCTCCCGATGGGTACCTAGGTCGCAAGGGAGGGCAGATGAGGAGGTCAGGTCCGACAGGAGCAGGACGCGGACATGCGCGTCTTTTCGTCGCTTCGTGGGCATGCATCCGCTCCTGAACATGCCTACATCCCTTGCATGCGATCATGTCAAGGGGGGTTGAGGGCGGGGGAAACGGAAGAGGGAGGGATGAAGCTGTCGAGGGAGCCATCTCCGAAGTTACCTTGCCAGCCCAGACGGTCCGAGTCGGTCGCCGCTTAGTTTGGTATACGCTCTCACAGTATTTTTTCAAATGGCTGATATCCTTGCCGTCCATCTGAAGGGCGGCACGACGAGAATGTAGCCGTCGGTTCGATGCTTTTTTGTGAAAGGTTGAGGTCGGCAAGGGTAGGGAAGGGAGGAAGGGGAAGGATGAGAAGGGAGAACTTAGACGTTGGAGAGCACAAAGGGCTTACCGGTCGAGTCCGCGTGAGGAACGAACGCCCCAACAGCATTCTTGGCCAGGGAAACGGTGAGCAAGCATGCTCCGATCAGGATTTTGGTGCCCACTGCCATCGTTGTGCCTTTATCGTGGACGATGCTTGTGGGGAGGAGGTCCGCGGAAAGTGACGATTCCCAACAAGCGCGAGCAAACCCGGACCCGCGCGACCCACACGATACTGCGTGCTCTGTGTATGTTATCAAGAAGGATATTAAATGGCTGGCTTCAGCGCTGTCTTGATGAAATTGGACGGGGGAGGACTTGGAGATCGGCGCGACGTTTCTGTGGAGTCCGGGCAGTCGTGATCGATCTTATTTCTACCCAGGACATTGCTCAGTATTAGTCGACAGCACCCCTCCGACAGCGCGCTGAGCCTAATACAGACCCGAGACGTGGATTCAACAGTTGGCGCGGCGTCTAATGTGGCGGTACAGCCTTGATCCATGCGTGATTCCATTGGGAGGGACACTTTTCTCGTCGTTGGTATCCAGAAGCGCAAGCTCTCATCCTTGCTTGTCCCTCTGTTTTTTTTCTGTTTTTCCCCCCTTTCGTTTTTTCACATACGATCCCTTTTGCATCATTCGTGCATGCTTTTCGACACTTTCACACGTTGATCATGACAGCGCGAAGCCCCCATGCGTGTATCACGCATCGGTAAATCACACGGCTTCCCTCCCCTGCGCCCTCCCCGCTGTCCTTCACATGGCCCATATTTATACGCTCATAAAGTTTTCTAAAGCATTGCACCCTTTCATGAGGCAGAGGTAGACAGGAATAGGCACCAATATAATCTTTTGTTAACAGGCGAGCTATGTTTGTAGGGCCTTCGTCAACCTCCCAATTCAGTATTTGTGAAGTGACAAAACTAAAGTGAAACGTGCCATGTCGCCTGTCTCCACGTCCTCCTTGCCGCGCGTGGATCCAATACGATGGTGTATCTGTCTTATCTCTCACACCTACGCGTGAAAGGTGCTCCTTTTCCGCGTGTACTGTCGAGAAGTTAAGAAGGAGGAAAAAGCATTCATACTTCGATAGCTGCAGCAACAGCTACGGGCCCGCTGTCAGACTAAAAAATGAATCGAATTGAAACACATCGAAGGCAACCCTCCAACCAGTACCTGCTTTCGGCTCCGTCTCAAACATGTATTGCTTTATTCTTCCATGAGAAATGCATGGTTATTTGAATATGCAAGTATGGAAGGGTACATCTGACTGACTTTTTTAGGTGTGCACTGCGTCCAAGTGCGCACACCATCCTCTTCCACCACCTCTCCCCATCCTAACGGCCCTTCCTCCTCTCCACGGCCTCCCTCCACCCTAGCGCCAAGAATTCCTCGCGTGCCAGTCGGTACTTGAGACCGTCACGCTTCAAGCCATTGACGGCTTTCCTGCCCGCCAGGGTCCATCCCCGCATCTCTTGGCTTCTCCTCAGCTTGCCGAGGGTCACCCCCAAGCTAAAATAGTCACTCGGGAAGCCAAACGTCTCCATCCCCTCCACCTCCGGAGCTGCGTACCCCTCGGTACCTGCGCGCTCCTCCTTGTCCGAGACGCAGGCCTCCCAGGCCTGCTCCCTCGGGAAGACGATGCAGCCGTTCAAGTCCCCCACCACAGGACTGAACCCTCCAACCCCCTCCTGTTCCCCGCCCTCTGCCGTCCTCTCCGCCCCCCTCTTTACCATGAAGACATTGCCAAGTTTAATGTCCCCATGCAAGATTCGCCGGGCATGGAGGGTGGCCACGGCCTCCACCAGGTCGTACGCCAGGCGCATGCAGTCCTCCTCCTCCAGGCTCCCCGCCCACCGTTCCAAGCTGCCTCCCTCCGCGTACTCAAGCGCGAGGAACAAAGA